TAACACTGTTCAACCAGACCTGGTGATTCCCTGAGACCCCATCCCATCCAAATTTCAGCCCAACCAAGAGGCTTTTCCATAGACACAGCCTGTCCTGTCTCATGCTTCAGACTTGCCTAAAATCTCTCAAACAAGCAGCATCTGGCCTTTGGCTAAATTGCTCCAGCCCTGGAACTAGCAGCAGCCAGCCTTGGTTAACAGCTTAGCCTCTCTTGTGCACCTCCAAACCCAGCACAAGTAGCACCCATGTGTAGATCACACTGTAGCTCATGCTAGGCGGGCTGACCTTGGCCTGCACCTCCCAGAAGGTCCCAGAGCCAGGACAACTGGTGGATAACTTCAAAAAACATCAAAGCACCATCCAAACACTTCCACAAGTGACATATTCAATGGGCGGGCTCACTAGGCCCAGGAGCCCCACTGAAGTAAGTCTTGTTCCATGGGGTATTCTCCTTTACATCCTCTACCGTGGTTGCAGCAAGTCCTTGCAGCAGATCGGCCTCGTGGTAAATCCCCCACACTGAAGCACCAAATAGCAATCAAGGCTCAATTACACCAGGAAGGTGTACACAGCCCACATGAGGGTAAGGTGGGAGTACAGCTGGAATGCCTAGCTTGGGTGATTGGGGATATTGTGCCACTGGACCCTTCAGGACACCTACCACATAAGGCCACTTTACCAAGCCTGTGAGACATAGCAGCTCTATCTAATACACAGAAACAAATACAGGAAGGAAAAAAAAAAAAGAAAAAAGACAAAGAAATATGTCCCAAATGAAACAACAGAGCAAAAAATCCAGAAAAAGATCTAAACAAAATGAAGACAAGCAATCTACCAGGTACAGAGTTTAAAACACTGGTTATAAGGATGCTAAATGAACTTAGGGAAAGAGTATATGAACTTAGAACTTCAATGAAGAGAAACAAAACATGACTAGAAAACAAAAAAAGGAAAAAGGGAAAACTGAAGAATACATTAACTGAAATGAAGAACATTACATTATAGGAAATCAACAGTGGAGTAGATAAAGCAGAGGATCAAACCAGAGATCTGGAACTTAAGGTAGAAAACACCTAATCAGAACAGCTAAAAGAAAAAAGAATCCAAAAAATAAGAACAGTATAAGGAGCCTCTGAGACAACCTCATAAGTACCAACATTTGCATCTTGGGGGTGCCAGAAGGAGGAGAGCAAGAAATTGAAAACCTATGTGTAAAAAATAATAACAGAAAAATTCCCTAACCTGGTGAAGGAAATAGATACAGAAGTCCAGGAAGTGCATACTGTCCCAAACAAGATGAACCCAAAGAGGCCCACACCAAGACATATAATTAAAATGCCAAAGTTTAAAGACAAAGAACCTTAAGGTACAGCTCCCACGCAGCAACCTTAAAAGCATCAAGACAAAAGCAATTAGTTACCTACAAGGGAGCTCCCATAAACTGTCAGCTGATTCCTCAACAGAAACTTTGTGGGCCAGAAGAGATTGGCAAAAAATATCAAAGTGATGAAAAATAAGGACCTACAACCAAGATTACTCTACCCAGCAAAGCTATCATTTAGAATGAAAGGACTAATAAAGTGTTTTCCAGACAAGAAAAAGCTAAAGGGGTTCATCATCACCAAACCAGTATTATACAAAAAGTTAAAGGGTCTTTTTTAAGGAAAAATAAATAAATATGAACAATAAAATGGCAACATATATACATCTATCAATAAGTGAATCTAAGAAACAAAATGAACAAGGCAGAACAGAAACAGAGTCATAGATAAAGAGGACATTTTGATGATTGCCAGATAGGAGGAGTGTTGGAAGGGTACATGAAAAAGGTAGAGAGACTGTGAAGTATAAATTGGTTGTTACAAGATAGTCATAGGGATGTAACAGCATAGGAAATATAGTCAATAATACTCCAATAACTATGGACAGTATCAGATGCCTATGCTTCAGATGTTGGAATGTTTAAAGTTTTCCTGGAGATTCCTAAGTCTCTCCTCATTTTTTTTGAATTCTTGTTTCTTCATTATGTTCTGGTTGAATGTTTATTTCTTCATTCTGGTCCAAACCGTTGATTCGAGTCCTGGTTTCCTTCCTGTCACTATTGATTCTCTGTACATTTTCCTGTATTTCACTTTTTAAAGCCTTCACTTTTTCCTCTATTTTGCAACCATATTCAACCATTTCTGTGAGCACCCTGATCACCAGTGTTTTAAACTCTGCATGTGATAGGTTAGCTATCTATGGCTTAGTTGTATTTTTTCTGGAGCTTCAATCTGTTCTTTCATTTGGGCCAGTTTTGGTTGTTTTTTTGTTTTTTTTTGTCTTGACTGGCCTGTTACTTAGTAAGGGGTGAAGCCTTAGATATTCACCAGGGTGGGGCAATCCACAGTGTCTGTGTTATGGTGCCGTATGCAGAAGAGGAGTCCAAGAGGGAACAATGCTACTTGTTCAGCTTTCGGCTGGCTTTCAGTCACTTCTGCTGCTACCCAGAAGCACCCTGGACCCTTCTGGTGCTAACTCCCAGGTGGATGGTTTTATGTATGTGCTAGATCCAGTGGGTCTCTCCAACCAACTCTCCTGTGAGGCTGGGCATTTTTGCCACCACCTCAACCCCCACAAGTTTTTTTCAGTCAGAGGTTTTGAGGCTTTATTTCCCTGCACTGGAACCATGAGTTGCATGGTCTGTTTTGCTTCCCAGTTGTTCCTTGCATTCCATGGCTTGTATGCAATGGCAATTGGGCAGCTTTGTAATCACTGGAGTAACTGCACTAAAAGTGGTGCCTGGCCCTAAGCCACCAATAGATATCTGCTTCATCATTTTAATCTTGGCTAATGTAATTATGTGCCTTGGTGTGTTTCTTCTTGGGTCCAACTTCTTTGGGACTCTCTGAGCTTCCTGAATTCCCTGGAAGTCTATTTCCTTTGCCAGATTGGGGAAATTCTCCTTTATTATTTGTTCAAATAAGTTTTTCACTGGTGGCTGTTCCTTTCCCCCTTCTGGTACCCCTATAATTCGGATGCAAGAGATAAGGGGACAGTCACCTACAAAGGAGTTCCCATCAGACTGTCAGCAGATTTCTCAAGAGACCTTACAGGCAAGAAGGGGCTGGAAAGAGGTATTCCAAGTCATGAAATCCAAAGACCTACAACCAAGATTGCTCTATCCAGCAAAACTTTCATTTAGAATGGAAGGATAGATAAAGTACTTCTCAGATAAGATCAAATTCAAGGAGTTCATCATCACCAAGCCCTTATTATATGAAATGTTAAAGGGACTTACCTAAGAAAAAGAAGTTAAAAAAACATGAACAGTGAAAGGACAACAAACTCATAGTTATTAACAACCACACCTAAAACAAAAGCAAACTAAAAGGACAGCTAGATCAGGAGTGGAACCACAGAAATGAAGATCTTAAGGAGGGTTAGCAACAGGGGAGTGGGAGGAAGAGAAGGGGGGAGAAGGTACAGAAAATAAGTAGCATAGATGGTAGATAGAAAATAGATGGGGGGGCAAGAATAGTATGGGAAATAAAGAATCTAAAGAACTTGAGACACATGGTCATAAACTAAAGGGGGGTAATGGTGGGGATGGGGGGGTAGGGTGGAGGGGAATGAAGGCGGGAATAGAACAACAGTAATGGCATAATCAATAAAAAATTTTTTTAAATTAAAAAACAAATAAAAATAAAACAAATTAAAATTAATATGGAAAAATGAAAAAAAAAAGATATCTGCTTCATTTCTTCTCCAAACTCACTTCCTTTCTGTTGTAACTGAGGAATTTTCCCTCTACTATCTGAGGCCAACCCCTCCACAAGTATTCTGGACACAGCCTCTTAAAGACCTTACTCTTTCAATTACCTCCTCTCTATCCTAGATATCTACCAGATCACTCTTGTCCAATTTCAAATATGCCTCATTATTTTCTATCCTACTCTTCCTGCCCTCACAGTTTCAGCCCAATTCTCAGCACCTCCCAAGTCCTCCCACTCAAACTTCTTTAAAGTGTTGTTTTTGTCTCCACTTCCTCACCTCTCAACTGACTTTGGCTCCTATCATTCTGCTAAAATAGGAAAAATCCAAAGTCACTTTTCTGTCTTCATTTTACTGTCAGCATCTGAACTTCAGAAAGCCAAAACAGAAAGAAAAACAAAAGTACAGGAAAAAGGATATCTGACTTGCAGATGCAGGAACTTTAAAAAGATATTTTAATAACTAAGTTCAGAATGACTTGGCAGCACAAATAATACACTGCTATGCACTGGTTGAAAGGCACTCAGGTTCAGTTCTGAAGGTATCTTACAAAATAGGCCTTTTAAACTATCATTACTGCTTGAAAATGCAACCTGTTGGCAAACGTGTATGGTATACATGTACGTAGAAACACTCACCTTACAAAGAGCAAGACATTTTCTTGAATGAACACAGCTTTAAAATTTTCATCTCAACTCAAGATTAAACGAACCTGATTGGCAGTCTAGCCAGTATTATAACCCTACATTTAGTGAGACAACATATCCGAATTTAACTCCAGGCTTTCAGACTCAGAGTTAAGTCCGATTTTCTAACTCACAGTTTAGAATATTCAGACATGTTCCAAGAAACCAAAGTGCTATCAAGCCACCACTTTAACCTGGTGAAGAGACAGCCAGACCCTGGAGTGCTTTGCACCTGGCTCTGAAAGACATGGAGTGGAAGGGGACCCATGATGAGACCTTCCAGTTAGAACTACACTCTTTCTCCACTGGGTTTTAATGTTGTTCTCCCCACTGTCTTCAGGAGACTGGCCCCCCTCCCTCCAAACAGCACCTCAGGGGGCCACAAAGAGCAAATCTAGTGTTTCCCTAAAAGTTCTGGATTGCCACAGGCCATCAAAGTCGCACCACCTCCTCCAGCCCCTCATCCGCTCAAGAATACGACAGGAGAACATGAAGTCACTCCGCCGGGACCGTGCTGCAAAGACACCCCGCCACCTCCCAGCGTCCAGAGCCCGGCTCACCAGCATGGGACAGGGGCGCGGTGAGGCGCTCCTCGTTATAGATCACCACGGCGGAAGCATTCCTCCGAGCAGCCACCAGCACTTTGTCCTTTAAGATGCAGCCCCCCGCGTGGCAACAGGGCGACCCAAGACACAGCCCCCCAGCCGCCGGGTCGGGGCACAATGAAGCGCGTGTACGGTACGGAACCCTCAGGGTCACCGTCCACCATGCGCTGGACTCCCACCGGGCCTAGAGCGCCCTCCTTGGGCGAGCTGTCGCCAAAGCGGCCGCTCTCCAAAACTCTACAGGTGGTGCGGTTCGTCTGCTGTCCAAGTACTCGATTCTCACCACAGCCAAGTACCACTCCAGCGCCCGGCCCCAGGATCCTGGCGAGCACAAGGCCAGGGCCAGCAGCGCCAGGGCGTCGAGGGCCCGGCAGCCAGCGTCTGGCGGCTGCCGCCGCGTCATGGCTGGGCCGCCCGGCTGACTAGGAGCCAGCCGGGCCAGGGGCCGGAGGACGTCCAGAGGGAGAGGAAGCGTCAGAGGAAGCTGAGAAGCATCATAAAGCGAGCCTTCCTAGCACGGCGAGTGAAGACGGAAGCCGGACTTTGGTCGGGGCCTCGGCGCAAGCGCATCTGGTCGAACGGAGGGGGCAGAGCAAAGTGAAGGGGGCGGAACGATGTGGTGTGTGTGGCTGTTCGCCCTCCCAGTCACCCCACACCCCAGTTGGGTGAGTGGCGCTTGGGTTGGAACCTCTCCGGTGAGTTGCGCTTGGTTTGGAGCTTCCCTGCCTGTGAAAGTCTGGTGACTTGCAGTACCCCGTCCTGAGACCCCAGAGACTCCGCGGCGGGAGAAGGTGCTGCCCGTACCCACCCGATGGCTTGCGCAAAGCCGGCCTGGTAGGCTGTGGCTGATCTCAAGCAACATCACGTGCTACCTCTTTCATCCCGGAAGCCAGGGTGAGGGGCCGTCAGAGAAACAGGAAGCTCCTTCGTGAAGCGTGGGAGCTGGTTTTGTGTAAAATCACTCAAGGGGTGGATGTTTTTGAAGAATTTACTGTGGCAAAGAACTTGTCTAAAACATTTAAAAATCCAATTAAAAAATTCTAAGCTACACACATTTTCCAAATTCTTGTTACCAATTTTGAAATGCTAATTGATTTTTTTAATAAAGATTTTTTTGTTTGTTTTTAGAGGGGGAAGCAAGGGAGAAACAGGAGAGAAACATCAATGAGTAGTTGCCTTTTGCGTGCCCCCTACTGGAGACCTGGTCCACAACCCAGGCATGTGCCCTGACTCTGAATGGAAGCCTGAGAGCTTTTGTTCACTCAATCCACTGAGCCACACCAGCCAGGGAGTTAATGATTCCTGATAACTTGTCTGAAGTATTATACTCACAATTACCCTCTTTATTATGTACTTTATATATACTTGTAGTTTTGAAGTAAGTGCATCAAATTGTACAACAAATAAGAAAATAATTCTTTTGGACATAAACTTGACCTGTATATAAAACCTTACAGCTGCAGGAAAACAAGTTAAGAAAAGCTCTGACTCATCTTCCCTCTTTGTACAAGGATCTCTAATGGTTGGAAGTAGATTGTTTCCACTCACATCAGGTGTTTTCATTGGGTCTTACACCCTTTTACATTTCCAGTTAGCAAATTTTTGTGGACTGCATTTTATTCTTTTTTTTTTATTTTTTTAACAGACAAATAATTTTTTGTTAAATATTTTTTATTGGATGGCATTTTAAAGCTGTGCTCCAAAATGTAGTCTGGCCTACAAACTGTAAGTTTTCCTTGAAGTTGGAATCTCCTCTCACTTTCCCATCAAGAAACTAATTTCGAAAGACTGAAAGGATCCCATGCCTAGAGTAAGATATTACAGGACAAGGCGCTTGGCCCTGAGTGGGTCTGTCTAGGGCCAGCTGCTAGTTCTTGACTTTGTGTAGCAAAGATTTCACAACAGGAGTCTAGGAGACTAAGAGTGTATGTTTATTGAAGCTGGGGACAGTGAAACAAGTAAGGGCTTAGCATAGAAGAACCAATAGGAGGGCCCAGGCTCACTAGGAAGTCAGAGAATTGGGGGGCTTGAGGACAGGTTCAGGGGCTTAGCCTGGGACAAGTTGTTGCTGCCCATTTCTCTCCTGGTTGCAAGTCTTGTGGGGTCCCTTAGAGTTTAGGTGATGTGTGCCTGTGGGGGAAGAGGAGAGAGAAGGAAATGGCCTGGGTTGCTCCCCAGAGTAAGAGCTGACTTGGGCTGGGTCCTTTAGACTTTTATCTTTCTCTTGCAGGCAGGAATCTTTGGGAAGGTCTCAGCGGAGGGTTTCAGTAGAATATTCAACAGTTCTCCAGGTGAACTCTTTCAAGTCATGGTCTCCACTGATTGGTCAGTGCCAGGGCAGGGGGTTATTAGCCCTTGCAGTTGGTCCTAGTGTTATGCACCTGATTTTGCTGCTTTTCTAGGCCTGGAGCTGAAATACAACTGAGACCTAGAAGTTATTCTCTCTCAGGAGGTGACCTTCTGCATCTGGCTGTAAATGGCTCAGCCAGTTTGTTCAACTGTCTCAGTTTCCTTATTCCATTTGCTAAGGAATTTCCTCAGCTTCCTTCTATCCTGTCTCAAAGCAAGATAAAGTTATAGCAGTCTCAGCAGGCTAGGGGCAGGTCCTAGGACCCCCACATTGTATTCCAGTAAAATAAGTACTTGTAGTTCCCAGAACAAGCCTTGCAGTTTCATGCTGTTCTTTTTTTTTTTTTTAACTAGTTCATGAAATCTCCTTGTTCTTGTCCTGGAAGACACCACCTTAGTCTTCAAGTTTTAACTCAGAAGTTACTCTTCAGTGAGACCCTCTTTGGTCTCACTGAAGGAAGAGTGCTTTAGGAGGAGCACCTGAAAGCAAATTTAGGTGCTCCTTCTATTTTCCATGTTGCTTGTGTATAGTAAGCTTACATATTAATGTTGTATCAGCAATACTGCTTTCCAATACAGTTTTAAGCCTCTTTATAATACTGAGTATCCTGAGGGCCAGGATCCCAACTTTGCTGTTTTTGTGAGTCAATTTTATGCTCCTGCCCTCTTTGTCAAATATTAATTGACCGTAGAGACATGGACTTATATCTAGGCTCTCTATTCTGTACCACTAATCTATGTGTCTGTTCTTATACCAGTACCAGACTATTTTGATTACAGTGGCCTTGTGTTATAATTTGATACCAGGTATGTGATCCCTCCTACTAAGATCTTCTTTCTTAAAATTGCTTAGGCTATTCTGGGCCATATAAAATTTTGAAATGTTTGTTCTAAATCTGTGAAATATGTCATTGGTGTTTTGGTAGGGATTGTATTCTATACACTGTTTTGGGTAGTATGGACATTTCAGTGATGTTGATTCTTCCAATCCATGAACACGTTATAGGCTTCCATTTATTTGTGTCTCCCTTAATTTCTTTCTTCAGTGTTCTGTAGTTTCCCAGGTACAGGTATTTTGCCTCCTTGGTTAAGTTTATTTTTAGGTACTTTATTCTTCTTGTTGCTGTAGTAAATGGGATTTTCCCCCTAATTTCAATTTCTGGTATTTCATTGTTGGCATACAAAAATGCCTTTGGCCCTGGCTGATGTAGCCCAGTGAGTTGAGTGTGGGCCTGCGAACCAAAGGGTTGCCGGTTCGATTCCCAATCAGGGCACCTGCCTGGGTTGTGGGCCAGTTCCCCAGTGGTGGTACATGAGAGGCAACCACACATTGATGTTTCTCTCCTTCTCTTTCTCCTTCCCTTCCCCTCTCTCTAAAAACCAATAAATAAAATCTTTTAAAAATGCCTTCAATTTCTGAATATTGACTTTGTATTCTGCTATTTTGCCAAATTCACTTACTTGAGTCAAATACTTTTCTGGTGGGGCTTATAGGGTTTTCTGTGTACACTATCATGTTGTCTGCAAATAATGACAGTTTTACCTCCTCCTTTCCAATTTGGGTGTCTTTTGTTTCTTTTTCTTAACTGATCACTGTGGCTAGAATTTTCATATGTTGAATAAAAGTGGTGAAAGAGGATGTGTTATTAAGGGGCATATATGAGATCATGGCCACTTAATTTGGAGGTTCAGATTCACAGGAAATAAAGACCACAAGTGAAAGGTGAATAGTTAAGCACTTTATTAAGTGAGAGCAAAAAGAAAAGCAAGAATCAGGAGCATACATTACCAGATGGGAAATCACCAACACCCCAACACAGACTCTAGGGAATCCCAGACGCAGGAGCATTCAGGGTTCATCTGGGAATAATTCCTAGTGAATTGTCCTTTCCTTAAGTGGGATTCCAAAATCTCACTTTAGGGGCTATGATTACATCCGTTTTAGACAAAAGTGGCTCCACACCAAGAGCTTTGTGTGATTTGACTAACTAACCATTCCCTCTGGGAGAAGAACCAATTCTCCCAAGGGAACAACTAAAGATCAAAAGATACTCATCTCCCGGGGAGAAGGGCCAGTTCTCCCTGGAAGACAGCACTATATTTTGCTTTTCCAATGAAGGTCACAGCTCAGGCATAAACATAATTCATTGTATTTCTTAGGTATCAGTTGTGATGTCTCCTCTTTAATTTCTAATTGTGTATATTTGTTTCCTCTATCTTTTTTTCTTGACAAGTCTTGTTAAATGCTTGTTGATTTTGTTTATCTTTTCAAGGACCCAGCTCCTGGATTTATCAATCTGTTGAATTGTTCTTTTAGTCTCTATGTCATTTAGTTCTGCCCTGATCTTGATCATTTCCTTCCTTCTACTTTCTCTGGGCTTTGTTGTTGTTCCTGTAGTTTTTGTGGATAAATGGTTAGTTGTTTATTTGAAATTTGTCTATCTGGAAATATAGGAAGATGGCAGCAAGGTAGGTGGGATCAGAGGCTACTTCCCCCTGCACCCAGCAGGAACACCTAGCTGGTCTTTGAGGAACAGAGTAAACAGACAACCGAATCCCAGCATATATAAAGTTTGGAGGCCAAAATTGTAAAGGACATTGATAAACAGATGGTAAGGAGATTCTGTTGGGACAGTAAGATCCCTGGGACATCCACGGGGACCAAGGCTGCTGTGACCCCTGGCTCTGGCACTTGCCACGGATCCTTAGGGGAGAGTGAAAACAGCAGTTCCCTCCTCTACCAAAGCAGGGAGGACACCTTGGTACCAGGAGAGGCCTGGATGCTTAAAGTCGCTGGGGGGGGGGGGAAGATGAAGTGGGAGACGCACAGAGGCAGTGTTCAACTACTGGGACTGTGGATGCCAACTAGGTCATTACCAGAGAAATTTGGGAGCTGGGCAACACCTGGAGAAAGGAGAAAAGTGGGGCCCTGTTAGACCCTGACCCAGATAGTCTCCATCCTGGTTAGAAATACGGCTTTGTGAAAAGCTAGGCACTTGTTAAGATCAGCAGGCTTAAACAGGAGGATTCTACCTGCAAAAAGGTTCTCAGCCAATGTTTAAGGAGCTCTCATACAGTGGCTGACCCACACTGCAGATGGCTTGTGAAGAAGAAGGAGGAGGCACACTGCACAGGACTGTTCAGAGGAGGGCAGGAGGGCTCAGGAAGTTAGCATCCCTCAGACAGACTTAATTCAGTGCTGGAGCTCAACAGCCCTGAAGA